CTTTGAAAATATCTTCTCACATTGGATTTGAGTAACCGAAAATGTGCAGATGATTTTATAGTTACCAGACAACCAATAAACATTTAAACTGAGTTCATGATATAAAATGATCAGGTAACAATATTTATTAATAATTACACATATTTTAATTTGTATTTGCAATACAAGTTATGGTTTGTTTCTCATTTGTGATTTAATATTTTTGCCTTAAAATATCATGATGTTCTAGTCTTTGATTCTTAAATGCTTAAATTTGTCCTCCATTTAGGTCTGCATTTTGCTCTTTCCAAGATTTTGTATTGATTCCACGTTGTTTTTAAGTTTATTCTTGAAATTATGCTAGATGATTGTTCAAATCTGCCAATAATTGCTTCTGCATCTAATTCAGCTAACAATTCCTTTTCAATGATTAGTAACATGTATGATTCCAACTTCTCCTCAGACAGCGAATTTCTTAACCCTGTCTTTATGATGTCTTCTCACACTGTACTTGTGTAACCAATAGTATGCAGATGATTTTATAGAGTTGCCAGACAACTGATAAACATTTAAAATGAGTTCATGATATAAAATGATCAGGTAACAATATTTATTAATAATTACACATATTTTAATTTTTATTTGCAATACAAGTAATTGTAATAATTATTATTACCGACATTATCCAAAATGACTTCGATCAAACGCAAGAAGTAATTAATAAACGGAAAGGTTTCCAGAATTTGTGAACAAAATTTTCATCCTTTAATAATAGTCAGTTGTGCTAAGTTTAATTTGTAAAGTATATATATGTAGGTAGAAAAATAAATATTACAGTCAGTGTATACGAAATGTTAAGGTTAGAATTGATTTTTTTTTTAATTTAATTATTTTACTGCAAAATTTACACATTAACAGATTGTTCAAGAGCAAAATAGAGCATTGCCTGCAGTCCGCCATATTAAGAGCAATCGTTTGTGTTCGCTAGATTATTGTGCCAATCTGCCAATAATTGCTTCTGTATCCAATTCATCTAACAATTTTCCTTTTTCAATGGATAGAAACATACCAAATTCTTTTCATGAATTTCTTCACCTTGTCTTTCTGATCTTTAGCTTTGAAAAATCTTCTCTCACATTGGACTTGTGTAACTGATAGTGGGCAGATGACTTTATAAAGTTCATATTCCCTTTTTCTTACTAAAACAGATGTCTGTGTTTGTATTTTTATTGCATTTTTATTTGATATAAGGGACCACACCATCAGGGGCCCACTTGCCATCGTGTAAACTGACACCCCGATTATAATTGATTTTTTTTTTTAAATTGAATTTGTTTACTGCACAATTTATATATTAACAGATAGTTCAAAAGCACAAGAGAACATTGCATGCAGTCCGCCATGTTAAGGAGCAACCGTTTGTGTTCGCTAGATTATTGTTCGAATTTGCCAATAATTGCTTCTGTATCCAATTCATCTAACAATTTCTTTTCAATGGATAGCAACATGTATGATTCCAAATTCTCTTCAGACAACGAGTGACTTTATGATCTTTAACTTTGAAAATGTCCTCTCACATGATTTGAGCAACTGGTACTCTGCAAATGACTATATAAAGTTCTAATTCTTTTTTATTACTAAAACAGTTGTCTGTGTTTGTTTCTTTATTGTGTAAATTCTGTGCTAACAGTTTCCTTTCTCGTACTTCTTGCTTGTGAAACTCTCTTCCAACTTCTTGCTTGCCCATCAACGTTAATCTTCAAAATTTTAAATTCAATGGCAATCGTTACTTTTTGTCTTAATTCTCGTTCATTTATTCTTCTTTTGCCTTAATAATAATGTTTTCTTTTTCTTATATTCTCTCACACTCAGTAACCCCTTGAGTTTTAGTGGCTTCATTGCCTTGCTTGAGGTAGAATGATTAAAAGAAATGTCTCATTATTTACTACAACATGTACAAGTCCTGCCTTTCTTCTTTTTATGCAGATATAATGAGAAAGTCATTGTCAATTGGTTTTTTTTTCTCATTTGTGATTTAATATTTTTGCCTTAAAATATGATGATGTTCTAGTCTTTGATTCTTAAATGCTTAAATTTGTCCTCCATTTAGGTCTGCATTTTGCTCTTTCCAAGATTTTGTATTGATTCCACGTTGTTTTTAAGTTTATTCTTGAAATTATATATTGGAATAGTTTAATTAAGAACAATCGTTTGTGTTCGCTAGATGATTGTTCAAATCTGCCAATAATTGCTTCTGCATCTAATTCAGCTAACAATTCCTTTTCAATGATTAGTAACATGTATGATTCCAACTTCTCCTCAGACAGCGAATTTCTTAACCCTGTCTTTATGATGTCTTCTCACACTGTACTTGTGTAACCAATAGTATGCAGATGATTTTATAGAGTTGCCAGACAACTGATAAACATTTAAAATGAGTTCATGATATAAAATGATCAGGTAACAATATTTATTAATAATTACACATATTTTAATTTGTATTTGCAATACAAGTTATTGTAATAATTATTATTACCGACATTATTCAATATGACTTCAATCAAAAGCAAGACGTAATTAATAAACGGAATGGTTTCCAGAATTTGTGAAAAAATTTTTCATCGTTTAATAATAGTCAGTTGTGCTAAGTTTAATTTGTAAAGTATATATATGTAGGTAGAAAAAATGCTAGATAAGATAGCAGGGTCACAAAGCATTGCCCCAATCCAATTTGGACCATCCGGGAGGTTCGTGGGTAGTACGCAGCGGCCCTGACTGTACATATTACTAGAAATAGATATTAAATATAAATATAGAATATCATAATTTAATTTTTATCTACTTTTCTTAATTTTAAATAATTGGTTGATATTTTTAAATAGTTTTTTTTGCACAATTTACACATTAACAGATTATTCAAATAGCAAAATAGAGCATTGCCTACAGTCAAACAATATATTAAAAGCAATCGTTTGTGTTCGCTAGATTATTGTGCCAATCTGCCAATAATTGCTTCTGTATCCAATTCATCTAACAATTCCTTTTCAATGGATAGCAACATGTATGATTCCAAATTCTCCTCAGGCAGAGAATTTCCTAGCCTTGACTTTATAATCTTTCGCTTTGAAAATATCTTCTCACATTGGATTTGAGTAACCGAAAATGTGCAGATGATTTTATAGTTACCAGACAACCGATAAACATTTAAACTGAGTTCATGATATAAAATGATCAGGTAACAATATTTATTAATAATTACATATTTTAATTTTTATTTGCAATACAAGTAATTGTAAATAAATTATTATTACCCACATTATCCAAAATGACTTCGATCAAACGCAAGAAGTAATAAACGGAAAGGTTTCAGAATTTGTGAACAAAATTTTCATCCTTTAATAATAGTCAGTTGTGCTAAGTTTAATTTGTAAAGTATATAAATGTAGGTAGAAAAAATAAATATTACAGTCAGTGTATACGAAATGTTAAGGTTAGAATTGATTTTTTTTTTTCATTAATTATTTTACTGCAAAATTTTTCATTTAATAGATAGTTCAAGAACATAATAGAGCATTGCCTGCAGTCCGCCATATTAAGAACAATCGATTGTGTTCGTTAGATGATCGTTTCTGCCAATAATTGCTTCTGCATCTAATTCAGCTAACAATTCCTTTTCAATGATTAGTAACATGTATGATTCCAACTTCTCCTCAGACAGCGAATTTAACCCTGTCTTTATGATGTCTTCACACTGTACTTGTGTAACCACATTTAAAATGAGTTCATGATATAAAATGATCAGGTAACAATATTTATTAATAATTACATATTTTAATTTGTATTTGCAATACAATTATTGTAATATTATTATTACTGACATTATTCAATATGACTTCAATCAAAAAGCAAGACGTAATTAATAAACGGAATGGTTTCCAAATTTGTGAAAAAATTTTTCATCGTTTAATAATAGTCAGTTGTGCTAAGTTTAATTTGTAAAGTATATATATGTAGGTAGAAAAAATGCTAGATAAGATAGCAGGGTCACAAAGCATTGCCCCAATCCAATTTGGACCATCCGGGAGGTTCGTGGGTAGTACGCAGCGGCCCTGACTGTACATATTACTAGAAATAGATATTAAATATAAATATAGAATATCATAATTTAATTTTTATCTACTTTTCTTAATTTTAAATAATTGGTTGATATTTTTAAATAGTTTCCTGCACAATTTACACATTAACAGATTATTCAAGAGCAAAATAGAGCATTGCCTACAGTCGGCCATATTAAAAGCAATCGTTTGTGTTCGCTAGATTATTGTGCCAATCTGCCAATAATTGCTTCTGTATCCAATTCATCTAACAATTCCTTTTCAATGGATAGCAACATGTATGATTCCAAATTCTCCTCAGGCAGAGAATTTCCTAGCCTTGACTTTATAATCTTTCGCTTTGAAAATATCTTCTCACATTGGATTTGAGTAACCGAAAATGTGCAGATGATTTTATAGTTACCAGACAACCGATAAACATTTAAACTGAGTTCATGATATAAAATGATCAGGTAACAATATTTATTAATAATTACACATATTTTAATTTTTATTTGCAATACAAGTAATTGTAACAATTATTATTACCCACATTATCCAAAATGACTTCGATCAAACGCAAGAAGTAATAAACGGAAAGGTTTCCAGAATTTGTGAACAAAATTTTCATCCTTTAATAATAGTCAGTTGTGCTAAGTTTAATTTGTAAAGTATATAAATGTAGGTAGAAAAAATAAATATTACAGTCAGTGTATACGAAATGTTAAGGTTAGAATTGATTTTTTTTTTAATTTAATTATTTTACTGCAAAATTTTCACATTAATAGATAGTTCAAGAACATAATAGAGCATTGCCTGCAGTCCGCCATATTAAGAACAATCGATTGTGTTCGTTAGATGATCGTAACAATCTGCCAATAATTGTTTCTGCATCCAGTTCATTAAGACCCTGCTATCGTAGACTGCATGGTCACAAAGTATTGCCCCAACCCGATTTGGGCCATCCCTCAGTCGTGAGGTTCTGGGGTAGCACGAAGCGGCCCTTATTGTACATATTACTAGCAATAGAGACTAAATATAAATAATGGGAAGTAACAAACCGGAAGCGTTAAGTGCAAGAAAAGAAAATGTTAATATAGAAGTTAAGGTTACATCTATCCAATTTCAAGTGATGAGAATCTAGTATTGCTCTTTGCTGTGGTAAAGAAAAGAGAAAAAAAAATGTAAACTTGTAGTAACAAAGAACGCCTGCAATAGGTTTTTTCTGTCTCTTGTCCGCAACACTTGTAGTTAATTCATAGTTCAAACGATAGTCCGTTGTAACAGTCCAACAGGCAACGTAGAAACGACAAAATGGGGTCACAAATCCAACCTTCACTTCTCATTAGCAAAAACGCGTGTTTGTCCGCCAAGCTCAGAAAAATCCTGCCTCGTAAGCGACAAACAACGGCTTTTATTTACCGAACGATTTTTTCTGATTGGCCTCGCCATTCAGAAGAGGAAAGAATATTAGCATAGATTCTTATAGCTTATTTTAGTTAATTTTTTTAATCCTCCTTCGGCAGATCTCACACAAAACACGAACTCTTTTTCGAGGTAGGTGATCTTTCACTACATCCTTAAATTCATAAAGTCTAGGTACCATAGAAGAAAGGTCATCAGAACAATAGTCATGAAGGTATTTATAGAAAAGACACATGGAAGCTACGTTACGGTGGGGGGGGGACTGAAACTGAGATACCAGGTTAGGACTAATAACATTGCAGATTCTTGTTTGAATTTTATCAAGAATCTCTAGATATATACCAGAATCACCAGAAAAAAAAACTGGCAGCAATATTCAAAGCAATTATTCACAACATTATTCACAAAAGCGACAAAATATACGAGCGCAAAGACACACAGCTGAAAAGAATAAGAAAAACATTTACAGGGATAGTGGCTGTGCGCGCTTGTGTGTGTTTGAGTGTATGCATGCGAAAGATACACCAGGTGTTCAAGTGACTAAGTCCGCTGGAGAAGTCTTCTGCCTACCACATTCTAGAACGAAAAGAGGAAGAGGTAGTTACTGTCCTTCCTTTTATAGTCCTGGATAACGCCACCTAGGAAAAATCTTAGCAGACGTTCAGACGTTTTTAATCGTACATTTTATATGACTTCAAACGAAATTAAGATTATCTGGGTGCATTTGTGACGTCCCCACGTTTGTTGGATAGACGCAATACAAACTGATCGATTTACAAAATTGGGGCCTCTGTTTCAAAAACGAATTGTCCACTATAATAACGCTTGAAGTAATATAAAATATATGGTTAAATATAAATCCACTAATTCTTTAGAAATTGCTTTGTTTACATTTTGGATACGAAACTGTGCGGATGCGAAACTTTCAAGAAAATAATCGGAGGGAAGAATTTATGTTTTAGTGTAGTAAGGAAGAGAAGACGATTGGCGAAGGCTTTAATAAACAGTGTGGCCCACGATGGGGCTAAGAGCAAATAAGGATACAAAGAATACAAGTAAAAGAGTATATATATATATATATATATATATATATATGTAAAATGTTTGTGTATATAAATATAAATATATATATATATATGCAATTTTTTTATATATATTATTTATATATTATATATGCGCGGTACTTATTGGAAAGCGCTCAATATCAGTGATAGAGCTAACATATTCAATGTTTCAGTCAGACGAAAGGCTCGAGACAGGAGTCGGGGGATGTCTTAAATGGAAAAAGTTTTATAAAATTAAACCCGAATATTAACCTTATGACATTAATATGACATTATATATATATATATATATATATATATATATATTTAGTTGGAAAAAATTGTCGTCGGAACGCCACTTTCTTCCCAATACCATAAAAACACCAATATACGCAACCATATATAAATCCAAAATTTAAAAATTAACCAATTTGTCTGACGACTGCAAAAAAGCGTGAAACCCACGGTCACAAACTCACATCAATCCAACTAAATATATATATATATATATATATATATATATATATATATATATAATGTCATAAGGTTAATATTCGGGTTCAATTTTATAAAGCTTCTTCCATTTAAGACAAATACCTTCCAACCTCACTGTATTAGTTTTTCGGCAGGTTATTTTTTTTTTTTTTTTTTTTTTAGCTTTCACAGTTAAATTCTACTTCCTGTCCCTTCTAAATGTATAGACACGAACTCAGTTCACACCCGCGTTGATAAGACAGACGACCATTTTCATCTGCCGAAATAGACTATCCCCCATATGAGGATATTTTGGATTTTATTGTTTATTAATTACATTGCTCGGAAGGCAATAGGGACAAATGAAAACAACGTATAACCTTCCTAACGTGCCTGTGTAAATGATTTGCAGAACAGGATTTTGAAACATTATGGGAACCAGTAATACGGAGTGATAGAGAAAAGCAATAATAACAAAATTTGCAATATGAGTCCTGGTAAAAAAAAAAAATATTTTTACAGGTCCTGAAATTCCATACAGTGATCTCATGTAGGACACATGGCCCAGTGGATAAAAGCATCGGATGGATCTAGTGACATGAGCCAAATAGTTGTACGTTCAATACCTGGCTACTGCAGTGGTGAACCATAAACTTGGACAGTTGAGTTAAAGGGAGATGACTGAAACATCCGGAAGAGGCATGACACGTGGAACTAGAACAATCTTCAACGGGCGAGCTTTTTTCTGGTTTGTAGAAACGTGGTTTCCTACTTGCACAAACGGCGCATACTTTTTTTTTTACATCTTCTATAGAGTAAGATAGATTCTTGACTTTGACAGAGTGGGCTGACCTGGGTGACAAAAACGATCGTGTAGCTCATATAACTTTTCTTTGTGTAGGATAGTGAAAAAGGTAAAATAGAGTGACGCCTGCCGTAATATTCTTCGTGGTCGATCGGTAAATCATGCCAAATCTTACTACAGTTTTTCCTACAAAGAGGAAGCAGGTTCGATCCCTACCGGAAACACATTTTCTTTAATAAAATTTCTCTAATACGTTAGACGATGGACGTGACAATAGACGTAAGGCACGCTGTTTTCTCTGTGTGTGAATGGGTGCGCGCGTGTGTGTGTGTGTGCATATTGGGTGTAACAGCAAAATTGTACAAATCTTGTAATAATTATCCATCCCACAAAATATTTATTATCTGAAAACCACTGAATTCTTTTTTCTAGGTTTTCAGATAAAACGTTTAGCTATCTTGTCGTAAGAATCACTGAAAAACCTTTTGAGTTATTCAGCTAGAAAGAGAACTGGTTAAAATCGTTTTGTGTCAAACCCACAGCCTTCCCAAATGAGCAATGATGAGAGCAAAAAGATCATTCAGGCCTTCAGTAATTGTATCGACATTTATACTTTGGCTTCCATCTTTAAAGCCCATTCAAGAACAATCAAGAATAAGTTTTAAAAAGAGGTAACAGTAGAGAAGAAAATTGGATCACGAGGTCACAACAGGAAGAGGGATCATCATTTCAGCTAAAGAGATCAATCAGAAAAGATCCAACTCAATCCATAAGACGTTTGGGATGTGAGAGAGGAGTTTCAGCTATGACAGTCCAATGAGCAGTAAAAAAGTCTTGAAAATGAAATCGTACGTGAAACATGTGAGACGCCTTGTTACTTCAAGACAGAAAGTTAGAAAGTTAGAGAGGGTGAAGATCATCTTGGGAAAATGATCGTGGAATTATATATATATATATATATGAACTGTTCAGCTTGGAGAGTAATTATACATTCTTATTGAGTCCAATTCTCGGAGAATTCCAGTAAAAAAATTTTAATCATTTCTAAGATACAACGGTTCAAATGTTAATCTAACCAGTCAATTTTGCTTTTACACGGTTTGGACAATTTTGGTGTTACACTCGATATAATCCGTTTTTATATATTTAAAAAGCAGTTAATTTGGAGATACTGTTTACGTACATGTTCCAGAAGACGTTCTCACTGTCTATAAAAATGCTTCCGTGGTATGCGTCCCAAATAGCCTCCCATAACTAAATCAGGCTCTGACCAGGAAGACAACTTCCAGGCAGATTCGGCTAGATGGAGCACGACAAGCCAGGAAGGCAGTCCGTCTAGGGGAAGAAAAATACTGATATTAAACAGCTTCTGCCATGAGCTCATATTCAACCACGGAAAAAGGCCATGGAAGTATATTTAGATAGAAAACCCCGAGTGAAACCCCGAGGGCGGTTGGCTGTCAACACTGACAACTTTCTGGAAACTCCTAGAACCAAGTCGTCCCCCAATCTAATGCCATGTATTTCTTTGGATCTTGTCGACACAGCCGAGAGTGGAGGACATCTAAGCGGCACATTGCCTCCATATACCATTGCCCAGGCCTGCCTCCTGGAGAGGTCACTCCATTCTCACCACTAAGACTGATTCCCGATTTTATCTTTTACTAATAAGTTTAGGAATTGTATTATCGAAATAGTAAATGTATAGGCTTTAGTTTGAAGTAAAACTAATTCAACGAAAATAGAATTTAACGACTATGGAACATTTTATGTACACTAGTAAAATAACTCATGATAAAGAATTTAAAAATATTTGAGTGGAACTCTCTTCCTCTTACTTGCTTCCCTGATAGATATAATCTTCAAATATTCAAATGAAATGTCACCCCTCTTTACCCCTTGCTCTCACTCCTCTGTAACCCCTTGCGTGCTAGTGGCACTCCCGCCCTTCTTGGGATTAAATGCTTAAAAACTGCGTTGGGCTTCTCAGGAGGCTGGGGGATCAGAGATTGTATAAGCACCTGTTCTATGGCGAGGTCCCTCTTGATAATTGTCCAACACAAATTCAAGAAACGTTTGAAAGATGTTGTTAAAGACGAGATAAAAGTCTTAAACTACTTTCATTGGTACCCCAACTGCATGAATTTAAGCAGGGTACTATATTGGCATCTTGTTCTTACACTTTCAATATTGAAACAGTAAAATGGAACCGCCACTTCTACTCCAAGAGCTCCTTCTCTCTTCTTACACTTCCTGACAGTGGCACTCCTTTCCTCTGACTTGATTCCCTGATAGCTATAATATTCAAACAAATTAAATGTAATATCAATCGACATCTTCTGGTACCTTCTCTATATCCTTTCCTCAAACACCCCCTCTTTACTCTTGGCCTCACTCTCTGTAACCCCTTAGCGTGCTAGTGGCACTCCTGCCTTGCTTGGGGTGAAAAAAGTTTATTTTATCTTTTACTAATAAGTTTAGGAATTGTATTATTATAGAAATAGTAAATGTATAGGCTTTAGTTTGAAGATAAAACTAATTGAATGAAAACAGACTTGTATTTAATGACTATGGAATATTTATATACACTAGTAAAATAGGTCATGATAAAGAATTTAAAAATATGTGAGTGGAACTCCCTTCCTCTTACTTGCTTCCCTGATAGCTATAATTCTTCAAATATTCAAATGTTATGTCAATCGACATCTTCTGATGCCTTGATCCTGACCCCCCGTCTTTCTCTATATCCTTTCCTAAAATACCTCTCTTTCCTTTTGTTCTCACTCTCTGTAACCCCCCTTGCGTGCTAGTGGAACTCCTGCCTTGCTTGGGGTGAAATGCTTAAAAACAGTTTGGACGGGCTTCTCAGGAGGATGGGAGATTAGTGACTGTCTAAGCACCTGTTCAATGTCGAGGTCCCTCTTGGTAAGTGCCCGACACAAATTCAAGAAACGCTTGAAAGATGTTGTGAAAGACAAGTTAAAAAAATCTTGAACTATTTTCATTGGTATCCCAACTGCATGCATTTGAGCGTGCTACTAGGTTGGCATTTCGGTCCCACACTTTTTACTGTCGAAACAGTTGAGTGTAACCGCCTCTTCTACTCCAACAGCTTCTTCTCTCGCACTTCCCGACAGTGAAACTCCCTTCCTCTTACTTGCTTCCCTGATAGCTATAATCTTCAAATATTCAAATGTAATGTCAATCGACATCTTCTGATTCCTTGATCCTGATCCCCGTCCTTCTATATATCCTTTCCTCAACCCCCCACTCTTTACTCTTGCTCTCTGTAACCCCTTTGCGTGCTAGTGGCACTCTTGCCTTGCTTGAAGTGAAATGCTTTAAAATGTGTTCCTTTTACCATTTTCTTCATAAGATACCCTCTTTATTTATACGCTTTGTCTATGGAATTCTCAGTATCCTTCTGTAGAACAACATTTCTGTTGACTCCAGTTTCTTGTGGTAAGGTTGTTCAGCATTCCCTGTCATGCAAGAGGATTGGTATGACATACCTATTAAACATTTCGTCTATAACGAAATTTTCCCTTTTCTTAATATTTTCTTAACTTTTGGAAGGCATCTTTCCCTAATCAGATGCAAGCTCGGATTTCGGAGTCACATTTTCGATCCTCTGTATAGTTACCACTTTTTCAGAAAGTTTTCCAGAGTTATATTCTCAGCATCCTTCTGTAGAACCACATCTTTGTTGCTTCGGGTCTTTTCATCTGTGAGGAAATTGTCCAGTATTTACTTCCATATGTATAGCTGACCACTCGTATTCGAGGATACCTATCTACTGGGGCGGCTAGCCGATCCCTATTGCAGACACTTGCTCAGGCGCATTTGTGTTTATTCAATCCCAACAGTCTACCTGTGGATTATACTGCAACTATGCTGAGCAGACCTTAGTTACGGTTTCTGGGGAAGAGCATGTTACTAGCACTATACCCAGTCTTTTCCCTTATTTACATTCTCTGTAACCCCTTGCGTACTAGTGACACTCTTGCTTTGCATGGACTGAATTGCTTAAAAAAAAAAAAAAAAAAGAAACCCTCTTTTCACGGCCTTTCTACCCTGTTCTTTCTTCTTTAGTCTCTTTCCCATCAATGCTTACGGCCGCATTACCTTGAAACGTATGCACCTGAACTCTAAGATTTTATTCACAAAACTAAGTCACTGACATTTCAAGTTATAATCCATCGAAATTGATTTCAACATACCATTGAAATAAAAATTAATTTTATGATGACTCAGTTATATATTTCAATTCGTTCGTGTCATCATTGGTTTACAAGTTCATGTTTAACGTTTTACTGATTGTTTACAGGATGTAATAGGAATAGAATTTCCGGGATAAACTTGAACTTTAAGTTCAAGTTTATCCCGGAAGTCCTATTCGTTTTAGATTAATTTAAAAATATTTTTTAATATTTTAAAAAAATATTTTTGAATCACATTCACTTGAAAATATTTTTTAAATATGGCAAAAAATATTTTAAAATAATTAAAATAGTGTTTGTTTAAAGAAAACTGAAATATAAATAATTATTCTACAAACAAATGGACGAAAGAGCAAAGCGGGATCTCTTTGTTGCTGTTTTTAACGTTAAAAAATTGTCTGTTCCAAGAAAATTAAAATAAAAATACTTACTGTATAAACAACTCATAATTCATTATGCGCCGAGCGGACACACCACACCAACACGCACGCAATCACAGATTTTAATATTATATAGATAATTACTTCATTTTAGGGTTTTTGTCTCTCCTTCTCCAACCGGAGTAGATAAGTTCGCATATCATCCGGTTCACACTCCTCCTCGGTCTTTTAAAACGGAGTAGAGGTTTTTCCTTTGTTTCCTGTCTAGGATTGGATTTCCGGTTCCTTCTAAAATCGGCATTTACCCGCGACCTCCCGACAAGGCGGGATCTGGCCGGTTTTTAACGTGGGGCTTTCCGCGCGCGTACGCTCAGGCAAAGATTCCCTAGGACCCCACATACACGTGGTCGAGTAGCTGTTTATCTCCCCAGACGAGACTCTGCCCGAGGCATAGCCACGTCTGAGTTCCTCTTCGCCCGAAGGCAGAGCGGTCGACAAGCAGAGTATTGACAAACTCAGAGGTTTGATGAACTCTAACTGCCTCACTAAAGTCTATTTTAGCTCTATACTCCTAACGTTTGTCCTTTCCTACGCTAATACAACTCCACACAGTAACTCTCTACCTTGAGCGGCTCTTGGGCCTCATATTGTGTGAATTTTAGTATAAAAAAACACCGATTTTTCGTAAGATCATCGAAGTTAAGTAGCGTCGACCCTTGTCAGTATTTAGATCGGTGTCTGCTTGGGAATACCACGTGCTATGAGTTTGGATGTGCCGGTGGTGTAATGAATAATTGCTCGGAATTGTCAGTCGGAGTTCCAATTCAGGTTGGGTTAGTTATGTGCACTTAGGCGTAAATACCCTTGGGGAAGGTAGGAATCCATCGCTTCTTCCCCAGTTAAGGGTTAATTAGTAAAACTTTTATCAGAAAATCAATATTACATAAAAATTCTGACATGCTAAAAATATTTTCTGGCTTTAAATAACCTGCAAAGAGTTGATAACCCGTCAAAAACAAATTAATCAAATCAACTCGCATCTTTCTCATCAGCTTTATCGCTTTTGTTCTTTCTTTCTTATTCAATTGTCTGTTCACTCTCTTGGGAGTACGATCTCTCTCCCTCGCTCTTTCTCTCTCTCTCTCTCTCTCTCTTTCTCGCGTTTACTCAGTTTCTCTCACTAACTCTTCATTTTATCGTATTCCCCTCACACTCACCTCCTCTCTTTAGAATTTCCAATTCTGTCTGTTATTTCTTTCTTTCTTTCTTTCTTTCTTTCTTTCTTTCTTGCTTGCTTGCTTGCTTTCTTTCTTTCTTTTTTTTTCCTTCTTTTTTGGTATTCTATTTCGTTTACTTTTTTTTTCCTTCTTTTTTTCTTTCTTTATTTGGGCTTATCTTTATTTCTACTTCTTTCTTTCTTTCTTTCTTTCATTTCTTTCTTTTTTTTTTGCTTTCTTACATTACCTTATTTTTTCTTTTTGGAATTGGGCATATTTCCTTTTTTTTTCCATTTTTTCCTTTTTTTTCTTTACCACTTTCTCCCTTTATCTTTAGTTAATCTTTCTTTTTCTTTTCTTTCTTTCTTTCTTTCTTTCTTTCTTTTTTTCAGCATCCTTTCTTTTTTTCTTTTTAGTTATTCTTTTATTTTTCTTTCAATCTACCTTCTTTTTCTTTCCTTCTTTTTTACCAGCCTCTTTTCATATTTTTTCGACTTATATTTCTTTCTTTCTTTCTTTTTTTTTTCTTCTTTTACTTGCAATCCTTTCATTCAATTTTTTCCGACTTATCTTTTTATTAATTTTTCTTCTTTCTTTCTTTTCTTTCTTTCTTTCTTTCTTTCTTTTCTTTACGCCTTTTTTCTTTCCTCTTTCTTTTCCGACTTATATTTAGTTATCTTTCTTTCTTTTTTTCTTTTCTTTTTTTCTTTCTTTCATTTTTTTTTTACCATCCTTTCTTTCCTTCTTTTTTTTCCGATTATCTTTAGTTATTCTACTTATTTTTTCTTTCTTTTTTCTTTCTTTCTTTCTTTCTTTTTTTTCTTTCTTTTTTTTACTTTACTTTTTTCATTCTCCTCTCCTTTCAATTTTCCGACTTATCTTTAGTTAATTTCTTTTTCTTTCTTTCTTTCTTTCTTTCTTTCTTTCTTTCTTTTTTTTTCTTTATCAGTCCTTTCTTTCCTTTCTTTTTCCGACTTTCTTTCTTTATTTTTTTTTTTTTTCTTTTCTTCTTTCTTCTTTCTTTCTTTCTTTTCTTTTTTTCTTTACCAGCCTCTTTTCATTCTCCTTTTTTTTTTTTTTTCCGACTTATATTTAGTTATCTTTCTTTCTTTCCTTTCTTTTCTTTTGGTTCTTTTATCAGCATCCTTTCATTGGGCATATTTTATTTCTTATTTTTTTTTTCTTTTTCTTTTCTTTCTTTTTTTTTTCTTTTTTTTTTTCTTTTGCAGCCCCTTTTCATTTTGCGACTTATCTTTTAGTTATCTTTCTTTTTCTCTTTCTTTCTTTTTCTTTCTTTCTTCTTTTCTTCTTCTTTTTCTTCATTTTCCGACTTTTTATTTTTTTTTTTCATTCTTTCTGCTTTCTTCTTTCCTTCTTTCTTTCTTTCTTTCTTTTTGGTATTTCTTTCTTTTTCAATTTTCTTATTCTTTCTTTTTTTCTTTCCTTTTTTTTTTTTTTTCTTTCTTTCTTTCTTTATCAGCATCCTTTCAATCTTTCGACTTATCTTTAGTTAATCTACTTCTTTCTTTTCTTTCTTTTTCTTTCTTTCTTTTTTTCTTTTTTCTTCTTTTTTCTTTCTTCTTTTCATTTTTCTTTTTTCTTTTTTTAGTTATCTTTCTTTCTTTCTTTCATTCTTTCATTCTTTCTTTCTTTATTTTTTTTCTTTTTTTCAATTTTCCGAATTTTAGCATTCTACTTTTTTTTTTTCTTTTTTCTTTTTTTCCTTTTCTTCTTTTTTTTCTTTCTTTTATTTTTTTTTTTTCCTTTCCCTCTCAATTTTCCGACTTATATTTAGTTATCTTTCTTTTCTTTCCAGCCTCCTTTCATTCTCCTCTCCTCTCAATTTTCCGACTTATATTTAGTTATCGTTCTTTCTTTCTTTCTTTCTTTCTTTCTTTCTTTCTTTCTTTCTTGCTTCTTTGCTTTCCGCTCATTCTACATTACTTCATTTTTTTCTTTTTGGAATTGGACATATTTAGTTATCTTTTTCTTTTCTTTCTTTCTTTCTTTCTTTTTTCTTTCTTTTCTTTCCCTTCTTTTCCCGACTCATTCTACTTATTTTTTTTTTTTTCTTTTCATTTTCCTTTCATTTTTCTCCCTCTCCTCTCTCAATTTTCCGACTTATCTTTTATCAGTTTTCATTCTCCTTATTTTTCTTTCTTTCTTTATTTTTCTTTCTTTCTTTCTTTCTTTCTTTCTTTCTTTCTTTCTTTCTTCTTGTTTTGCATTCTTTCCTATTTTTCCCTGATTCATCTTTCTTTCTTTACCTCTCTCCCACCTCTCTCTCATTGTTTCCCCTCTCTAAAACTTCTACTTCCTCTCTTTTTCCTCTAAGGTGTAATCTCTCTCCATCCCCTACTAAGAATTTTCTATTCTTATTTCTTTCCCTGCTTTTGTCTCCGTCTTTCTTTCAATCTCTTTATCATTTTTACTCTCAAATCCTTTCTGACTCTTTCTCTTTACAACCTCTCCTTTTATTCTCAGACGTGACCCCTCTCTCTCTCTCTCTCTCTCTCTCTCTCTCTCTCTCTCTCTCTCTCTCTCTCCCAACACTCGTTTTCCCCTCTCAGACATTTCTGGACCCGCTCTTTCACCCACTCTTTATAATTTCTTACTCCCATCAAGTGACCTCCGCCTCATTCTCTCTTGCTCACTCTCTAAGCATTTCAACTTTCCTTACTTTCCCCACAATTGGCCACTGACGTCACCAATCGCGCTAAAAAAAAATTTCAAACCGTAAATATTTCCTATGATATTGGCGCGCAAAGACACCGCCTCCATCATCAGCACTACCGAGAAAAAATAAAAAAATCACGCTGAAGTTGGAAGAGATGAGGAGGTGGATCTAATGGAGAGGTTGGAACGGTGATGGCGGAGGGGAGGCGGTAAGATCGAGTCGGGGTTTTCGATCAAGTTAGGGACTAAGAGAAAAATGGTCGAGTGTTATTACATTCAACAATCAACGACGCCATTTTCATTTCTATTTTTTTTTATACTCTTTCTATTTCTCTCCGTCTATATGTTCTTTATTTTTCTTTCTTTCTCTTTCATGGTAACCAGCTATTTTTCTTTCTTCCTCCCTTTCTTTCTTTCTTCCTTCCTTTCTTTCTTTCTTTCTTTCTTTCTTTCTTCCTTCCTTTCTTTCTTTCTTTCTTTCTTTCTTTCTTATTGACTCCTGCTCTGCTTTCTTTCTTACAGCATTCTTCTTTCTTTTCTTTCTTTCTTTTTATAACAGTGTTCTCCTTTTTCTTCCTTTCTATTATTCATTCGTCCATTTTTTCTTCATTTTGTTTTTTTTTTCTTTTTTATAGCACGGTTCTCTTCTTTTTTTTCTTCTTTTCTTTTATTCATTCGCCCATTCTTTCTTCATTTCTTTCTTTCTTTCATTCATTCCTACTTCTCTTCGTTCGTTCTTTCATCCTTTCTTCATGTCTTTCTTTCTCACATTTTTTCTTTCTTTCTTTCTTTCTTTTATTCGTTCATCCATTTTTTCTGCATTTCTTTCTTTCATTCTCTCTTTTCTCTCCTACTTTCCTTCGTTTGTTCTTTCTTCTGTTGTTCATTTCTTTTTTTTTTCTCGCGTTCTTTCTTTCTTTTCTTCAAGCGTTTGTTCTTTCTTTCTTCATTTTTTCTTTCTTATGACATACTTCTCTTTCTTTCTTTCTTTCTTTCTTTCTTTTGTCCGTTTCTTTCTCTTTTCCTTCTTTCTTACAGCATACTTCACCTCTCTTCTCTTTTTTTTTTTTTTTTCGTTCTTACTTTCTTTCGATCTTTCGTTCTTGCTATTTTTCTTTCTTTCTTCCCTTCCTTCATTTTTTTTCTTTCTTTTCCCGCCTTGTGAAAGACAATAGCCGCCATCTTGACAAAAACATTGATCCGGCTTCGTCATTTTTCTCTTCTAAGCTGCAATCGATTTCGACTGCTTCTGCTGAACACCACGGCCGCCGCCGCCGTCGCCGTCGCCGCCGCCAGCCAGTAAAAGTCTTCGACAATAGCAACATCCGTCCGAGCTATAAGTAAACGTTCCACAAACCGTGACTTACTTCCGATATTATTTAATTATCAGAACTTGCTATTGCGATATAGTACTACTACAGCTACTACCATGACACGATTATCAAATATTAACACGTATCTACAAGCCAGCCTACGTATTAACGGTGTGCATAGTAACTTCACAATTCCTAATAGGGTACACAACACACAAACATAAAGTATGCACGTGTACACGTATTTAAAATTTAATAATTAAATTAGCTAATGTGTAAATAATATTTAGGGTAACGGCTATAACTTCTGAAATAGGAGTCGACGTGCTGAATTCAAATTGCTGTTTAGTCTGTTGCCTTCACTTGAGAAAGGCATGAACTCGTATCTTCTCTCAGGGTATACTGGGCTCACTCTGTGGGTATACTGATCGGCACTTTTAGAACGTTCGCTTCCTAAGCACGAGACTCGGGTTCGAGGCTCATCGCGGTCGATCTATCAGGAAGGTGAATACTTCTTTTATCGGCTGGCCGGAGAGCGATCCCTTGTGTACCTTAAAAAAAAAACATACCACCGGTTGGCCCAGGCTTTGCGAATGAAATTGGGTGGACGGAACTACTTAGGAGCCGTCGATGGTTGTAGTAGCCCGAAGTCATAAGTCATCGTGACCGAGGGTTTTTGCCTTAGACTGATAACCACGCCACGTAATCCGCTTCTGTCCAGAAACTGTAACTAATGTCTGTTCTGCATACTTGAAGTATAAACACAGGTGAACTCATATGCCTGAGCAGGCGTCGGCAACAGGGATTGGCTAGTAGACAGATAAAATAAAATAATTTTTTTAAAGTAAATGTTATATCAAAAATAGATTAACCTTATCGCCTCTCAAATTTTGTACAAAGAAGAATGTATTTCGCCATAAGAAGTATCGCGAAATGGATTAGGCGGTCATGGCTCTCCACACTTTCTGTGAATTACCATTCATCCTTGGGAAAGTTAGTGGAATGGTTTCCCGTTGTCTTCTCCATATTTTTGAACTCGTAGTGCTCCTTCACGTAGATTGACTGATAGCCAAGGCTAGACAGCTCTGTCTACCCTGTGATTTAAACCTTTTCTTTTTTTGTAAATACCATCTCCTTTCAGGGCGTAAGTGGTGATGACTCTGTACAAATTACTTTTGTTTATTATCTCTTATTTGCCATACCTTTTTCGTGGGGGGGGGACATGGTGATGTGGTTTTTCCGTTGTCAATGGTTTTGAATTCTCCTTCACGTGCATTGGTTACCAGCCAAGGTTAAAATGTCTAGTTTAAATTCTATTCTGAAAAGCCATTTCACTTCGGGACATACGTGTTCATGGCTCTCCGCAGTTTCTTTTTTTTTTTGTCGTTATCTGTGAATTGCCATTTAGATCCTCGAACCTTTCACAGAATCCTTGATCCTTCATCGATCCCAGAAACGTACAAAAAATATTAATAATAATTTTTCTTTTGTCACATTTTCTCTATTGTTTTTTTTTTTGCTCCATAAGAGTTCATTTTAGCATTTCTTTAATCCCATGCCCATTCAGGATATAGGCGATCATAGGCGAGAATAACAGTCCGAATAATGTAAATAATGCAAATAATCATGCCAAAATTGTTTGGTAAACGTTTATTACTGGTTCATAAACTGACTTTAGCGTGTAGTAAAAAATACCAAAGGGAGGTAACAAATAATGTTGACTTAAATTTTTTTATAATGATAAAATTAAAAACATTATACACTACTAGCAACTAATAAAAATTCGGCGAGTATTTTTGTGTTTTTCTTGCTCTTCCCTTATCTGGCTTATATCCGAAAAAATGTTATTTCGCCTAAAGAATTATTTGAATGTTAATGACTCTTCTCAAAATTATAGAAAATAACAAAATATTTGTTGTTTGTGGGGACATTTATATCTTATCTAGGAATGTGACCCAGTTATTCACATCTAACCTGCTGTTTTTGTTTTGTTTTATTTTATGCAAGTTCTTTTGCATATCTACTTTGAACATTTTTTCGGGTAGTATATGCTGAAATATTTTAATACACAAATTCTTCTATCGCCCACCAATAGTCAAAATCCTATATCGCCCAAAAACTTATATCGCTCACCAATACTCAAATTCTTATATCGTCCACCAATAATCAATATCCTATATCGGCCACCAGTACTAAAAATGTGATATCGCACGCCAATACTCAAAATCTTATATCGCTCACCAATACTCAAATTCTTATATTGCCCACCAATACGCAAAATCTTATATCGCTCCCAAATACTCAGAATCTTATATCGCCCACCAATACTCAAAATTCTATATCTTTCAACAAACACTCCAAATCCGATATCACCCACCAATACAGAATGCCCTATATCACTCACCAATACTCAAATTCTTATATCGCTCACCAATGCTAAAGATCTTATATCCCCCACCAATACTCAAAATCTTATTTCGCTCACCAATACTCAGATACTTATATCGCTCACCAATACTCAAATTCTTATATATTGTCCACCAATACTCAAAATCTTATATCACCTAACAATACTCAAATTCTTATATCACTCACCAATACTCAAAATCTTATATCGCTCACCAATACTCAAAATTCTTATATAGCCCAACAATACTCAAAATCTTATATCGCTTACCAATACTCAAATTATTATATCATTCACCAATACTCAATATCCTATACGGCTCACTAATACTCAAATTATTATATCGCTTCTCAATACTCAAATTCTAATATCGCCCACCAATACTCAAAATATTATATCGATCGCCAATATTTATATCGCCTACAACACTCAAAATCTTATACTGCTCATTAATACTCAAAGTTTTATATCTCTCACCAATACTCAAGATTTTATATCGCCCACCAATATTCAAAATTCTATATCTTTCAACAAACACTCCAAATCCTATATCACCCACCAATACTCACTATCCTTTCTTAGACATTCAGGCCGGTGAATGCAACTAATACTGTTTATTATAAACAGACCATTTAATTAAATATTTGTAGCTATAATAATAGCGTATAAACAGAAAATATTCTAAAACAGAATATATATATATATATATATATATATATATATATATATATATATATATATTATTTATTATAAAAAAATTATAACATAAATATGTTATAAAATCACTACAAAAATAGCCATTTTGTTTCAACACCCTCGGTGTCTTATCAAGGGATGATGTTGAATATAAAATAAATGGTTTTAAAAGTTTCAAATTAATTAACGATCCTTCACTATGGGGAAACATTGTTACACAAGCTAGAATAACCAATCAAAATCCAAGTATAGGAAGATTCAAAAGCTTGACAACGAAATCATGTTATAATACCTATTCAGATTTTTAAAATACGGGTAATATTAAAAAGAATTTATACTAACCAATAATTATAAAATTATGATAAAATTTAATATTAAAATTAAAAACTGACAATTTTAAAATCCAAATTTAATCACTATTAAGTTTAAAAACTATAAAATTACGGAGGAGAAAAGAAATTATGTTATTCAATTTATTTCTTCGTTGAAGTTACGTTCGACAAGACGCTACATTTAAGAATAGTAATTGTTGGTTATTGGAATTCATTCCGTATACACCAATTATATACTTGTATATATATATATATATATATATATATATATATATATATATATATATATATACACAAAATGGAACACATAGACGCCTCTGTATGGTGATTTTTCTGCAACGATGCCAATTAAAGACAGTTCTTGTCCCAAAGGAAATAGAAATGTTTGACTGACCTCACCCACTACAAGTACTCAACCGCACTTGTTTTTTTTGGCTCCAGTGATTGAGCGGCTGACAATATTAGTCATAAACAGATTAGTCACTTAAATAAAACTAAATAAACTGGTAGTCGATTGGTGGGCTTGGATCCAAACGCTGGATTATCTATTTGGTGCAGAATTTAACATTAAGTTTAGCACGAAGGGAAGCACTGACTACAGTTTGCGTCACGTGGAAATAATTGTAGGTGAAATGATGCATTAAAATAAGTAACCCAGTAACCGATTTACGTTCTCTGGATATCGGTGCGAAAAATACCCTGTTGTTGATCGTTAAACGATGGATTTATTAATATACCTATTACTTATCACACCAGGTCAAACCCACAAGTCAGCCTGGCTTGTATACTGGCATTATATTACAGTTGTTCAGATGATGGCTTCAGCTCCAGTATCCAATCTATAATACCAGCTTATAGGAAGCGGTGTATTATCTGGTAACATATATATATATATATATATATATATATATATATATATATATATATATATATATATATATATATATATATGTATGTATGTAAAGCAAATGTAAATGGATATAGATCCGACAGAATGAAGAAAAAAATTGGAAAAAAACAAACAAAAAATCTTTAAATGCAATTATGTTGTTTAAAATGAATGAAATGTCGACGTCTGACGTTTCGGTTTAATAAACCTTCTTCAGGACAATATTCATTAAAATACAATTCAGTTCAATTTGACAAAGACGATGGACATAAAAAAAACAAGTCTTATCCAAAACAGATAACTGAAAATTTTAAAATGATCAGCTTTCCGTTTAGCATGGTCACGTTGTCGTCACATGGGCGACGCTTTCAAAACGTATTCCTAAGTATTTAACTAAATTTATAACTCCAATTCTGGGCACCGTAAGTAAGGCACATATAAAGAATCCAGGCTCTCTTCTAAATAAGTTGAGAAATATTGATATAGATAACAAATCACTAGCTAGCTTAGACATCAAATCTTTATATACTAATATACC